TAGAGCACCAAGTAGGTTTATTTAAAATTCCAGTTAGTATGGGGTACTTCCCTGAGTATTTTTGATCTATGAAAATAATCAAATCATCTCTTCCCCTTACCACGCCTCCTCATTCAAAAGTAAAATATTCTAACTTATTCCAGAAAAGAATTGAACTCAGGATTTGGGACTCCAAAGCCCTTTAACCAAGTGCTTTTCTTCATAGAGCCTCAGGCTTCTAAGAGTCTGTAACCCCAGGAAGATGGAGCCGACACAGTTTTGTGACAGGGACTGGCTCTTCTAGTCTCTAGCATACTGATTTAGAGCAAATCCAATCTTATTTTCCTTTGGCATTCACAATCCTTCCTGAGATGACATGTCCTCAGTTTTGAGATTATCTGCTCTCTTTTTTGAAAGTTATGGAATGGAAAGTATCTGTCACATTTCAGTCTAAATCGTCTCTCCCTATGGACCCTGAAATAAATTACTACTATCTAAAACACATACCTTAAAGGGGACTGAATTTTTAAAATCCTCCTTTATTAAATGCCTAGTATGCACCAGGCCCTGAAAGAGGCTCTTTACATATGCTAATTTAATTAATCTTCCAAACAAGCCTCTGACAAAGGTATTATTAGCCCCATTTTATAGATAAGAAAACTGAGGCTCAAATGAATTATTTTACCAAGACCTCCCAACAAGTAAGTGTGGAAGGAAAAAGAGCTTATTTCTCTACTCCAAAGCTGACATCCTAAACCAGTAGGATACTCTTATGGAAATGAAGAGTACTGTGATAACACCAATAACTACCTCACCTTCTAGCTTCAGGCTCCACCAATGAGCCATCAGGAGATCCTACTTGACAATATATCCTGGCCGACTCTGTCCTTAGCTGAATGGTTGACCAAACCCTTCTTCTGATCTTCCCAGAACATTTATGTCATTTCATAGCCTAATATGGGGAAATAAATTAGACCTGTCCCTTATAGGCTGGGTTCCCTGGACCATTGGCTTTTCCTGCCATTACTTCCAGCACCTAGAACAGTATCTGGCAGGCACTCAACAAATATTTGAAGAATGGAATACAAATTAATATGGTATGATAATAATAATGATTGTTATGACTTTATATGCCAAGCATTGTTTTAAGTCCTTAATATATATTGGCCCACCAAATCCTCACAATAACCCTAGTTTACAAATGAAGAAATTGAGGCATAGGGAGTGGAAGTTATTTGCCCAAGGTTCACAACTGATAAAGCCAGGATTTGAACCCAGGTAGTCTTGATCAAAAGTCCCTATTAAGAACCACTAAGCTAACTGCCTCTCATTAGTCCCTACTTTTTAAGGGGTGAATAATATAAAATGGGAGACAGAACATGGGCTTTGGAATCAAGCAAACTAGGTTTTGAATTCCAAGTCTGGTATTTTCCTAACCATGTGACCTTATGCAAGTTACTTAAGCTACATGGTTTTCTTTCTTCAAATGGGAATGAAAATACCTGCTTCCTAGAGTTATTATGACATTTAATGAGATAATCTAAGTAATGATCTGTTTGCAAACCCTGGCACACACACTACAAAGGGTCACTGTTATTGTGATGAGTCATTGTTAACCGTTTGGTACAAAAAGCAAGTGACATAAAGGAGTCTAGAAGAAAGAATTACTGAGGTCCGTCATGGTGATCAGGGATAAGTTTCATGTACACAGACGTACTCAAGATCTTTAGCTTTAAGTTATAAAACTGGGGTTGATGAGCAACAGCAGTGTCAAAACCAGTCTTCATGACAAGGGGGCTTTGGGTCCAATAACCCACTCAGGCTCGAGAGCACATGATGGGAACACATTATCGACAACCTAATCAACATACAATAGCATCATTCAGTTAATAATTAATTACTGAGCACCTACTAGGTGCCAGGCACAGAGATAAACCCAGTCCTGATTGTTGAGGTGGTGGTGAAGCATGGACGAATCAACATTTGATTATAGAGTGTTGAAGACCAATGGTTGAATGACGCTGGCAGTGAGTGCTAAGAAAGGAGGCTCCAATGCAGCGTGTGTTAGGGAAACCTTTCTGGGTGAGACAGGCCTCCTTTTTGACTCATGAAGCCAGGCAAAGAGAGCAGAAGGATGTTGGAGACAGCAGAAGGTCTGTCTGAGCATAGGTAGGGAAGAGCATGGTGCAGGTTCACAGTGAAGCGTGAATGCAAAGCAGAGAGCTGCAGGATGGGAGGCTGGAGAGGAGAGCAGGAGCCAGGCATGGAGGGTCTCCTGGGCCTTGTGAAGGCAGCTGGACTTGGTCCTGAGCCACAGATCAATTGAGTAGCAATCTCTGAGATCTCATCTCAACTGTGTGTCTGTAGCAAATACACGGTTTCCCCATGAAATACAAACAAAACACCACTGAGAGAGAGAAAAAATACATTTTTTTAGGCTTGCTGCTGAATTTTCTTTGGGGCCCTATTTTTTTTTCCTGAATAGATCACAGGCATTTTTAGCACTAGTGTAGTATATCACCATTTCATGATACTGCTCCCCTTTTTGCTCTAAAGTCATTTTAAATTCAGCTCTGTTCAGCAAATGTTACTTTCTTCCCCAGCACAGGACTCTGAACAACTCAGTAAATATTTGCTGAATTGGGCTGGATCCATCAAGCAACTACCAGACAAGGACTGCAGGAACATGCAAAGCTGGGACCCAGGGGTAGGAGAAGATAAAAAGATGAATATCACAGCACCCTTGCCCTCAACAAACTTGAAATTCTGATGATACAAATGAAACATATACATGAATAATATATATACCTCCAGGGTAGACTGTAGGGTGCTGCATTCTATCAGTAGTGGCCTTTGCAGGTGGTGAGAGTCTGAATCCCATTTCTCACAGCACTTTTACCAGACACTCAGCTCTTTGAGGGCAGGGGGCTGTGTCTCTTTTACTACTAAATCCTTAGAGACCAACAAATATTAAGTTTTATTAAGTATTTATCAAATGGATCTATTTAATCCTCACAACCCCAAGAGGTAGAATTATTTTACAAATGTGGAAACTGAGGCTCAGAGAGGTAATGTGACTTGCCTGAGGTTATAGGCTAATAAGTGGCATAGTCAAAATAACAATAATAATTATTATTTTCCATTCTAAGGAAGCCTACCTTCCATTTATCATTCTCCAAATGTCTCTGCCATGGGATTCACTTTTTATACTAAGATGGAAAATGTTCTCTCTGGCTGAATGAAACCTGAAGTTTACGGTTTGAGTTCCTGAGCTCTTGTTGCCTTTTCTGTACTGCCAGTTTTAGGAGCTCCAAAAGGCACTGATGTCTTTGGGACAGATCTATCCACAGTGCAGGTAAGGTCACCCATGCCGCTAGGCATATAAAAATGTAGTGATTCTTTAGCACAAAGATTCCACAATACTCTCCCCACTTCCTCCCAAATCCCTACATGACAATTAATACAGCTTCAAATCAGTCCATCTTTATTGAATGCCTACTATGTGCCAGGCACTTTTCTTAGTACTTCCAGAGTACAATGTACAGTATGAAAACTCTCTGTGCCTGTCCTATCTCCTGTTGTGATTAAATCAAGCCGTATTCACCTTCATGCATAGAAAAACCCCAAGAGCAGAGACAGATTGAGCCACTTGTATTTGTAGAGGAATACAGAGCAACATATAGTTGGCATTTTAGTACATTTTCACGGAACTGAGTAAATCTTTTAAATTTTGCTCTGGAATCAGACAGACCTGTGTTCAAATCAAATCCTGGTCTAAACACCTGCTGACTGTGTAACTTTAAGTTACTTCTTAAAACCTCAGTTAGCTTGTTTATAAATTAGAAAAATTAACATTTACCTTTTAAAAATGTTTTAGGATTAAAAGGGACAATGTTTGTAAGGGACAGTGCCTGACTCATAGCAAGAGCTTAAGAAATGAAAGCTAATCGCATTATTTCTAGTCCCACCTCTAGGTTACCTTCACTACTTATTATTATCATTATTATTACTTTGCTGGTTCATCTAGGTAGCACAGCCAAAGAATGAGGTTTGCTAGTTAATAAATATTTGGTTAATAGAGACTCCCAATATACATCATGCAGACATCATTAATTATCTAATATTTAGGATACGATACTTCATATTAAATCTAAAACAATCAGGAGTCATCCTTTCTTCAATAATTTGGAAGATACTAGAGATTTTGAATTGCATAGTTCTGAAAAAAGCTAACTATTATTTTTCCTTTGGATAATAAAGAGCTATCATCTAGAATACTGCATCTCAAACTTTTCTGACCATGACTTTTTACCAAAGTAAAAAAAAAAAAAGTAAGAAATACATTGAAAACCACAATTTCATAACACAACTTAGAACACAGGTAATTACCATAACGTTTCATGAAATAATTCTTACCCTAAGTAAGTACCATCCACTCATATTTTCTTTTCTATTTAATTCCATTCTTTCATTCCACTGTTTTGATTTTTTTTTAATGCCAGTCAAGACCCAGTAAAATAACTATAGGCAAAACTAGAACCTAGTAATTTACAAATATTGTTATCCTGTCCATTAGAGTGTATTAAGGACATAGTTGAACTGCTCCTCCCATTAAGCTGTGAATTTGTATTAATTCCATTTTATATATTAAGAAACTGGAACTCAGAAAAGACAGGTGATGTTGGGCAAAACAGACTCCCACAAGTAATGACAGATCCTTCTAACTCTGTAGTTCAGGCTCTTTAGAAAACAAAAACTAAAACTCCTACAAAAACCACATTATGATAATGCAGCTTAATTCATTAAACATTTATGAAGTACCTACTATGCATCAGACATTGAAATAAGAGAGCATTTGACATGATCTCTGTCCTCCAGGGTTAACAGACGACCAGGGAAGACAAGCATGCTTTGGAAGTTTGAAGTGGGTACTTTTTTACTCTGGAGGAAATAAGTTTATCCCCCATCCATCACCATCCTCTCTCCAGCCACACATTATCCCACAAAATGAGCACTGGTACCTGTTGGCGAGAGAATTCAGTCCATTCCTCTAATGGCACATTCCTTTGTGATCTGAAATAAAGTCGATATTTTTCCTGCTACTGTTTTCTGGCACTGTAACCCTAAAAGCAGTCCTCAAGGTGACTTCACCAATGAGCATCACCATCGTAACATCACATTATGACCAGACGGGTGCTCTGATGCCGATTCTCTCTAACCAATGTCTAATTTAGAAGCATCATTAGGGTGACTTCAACTTCTGAGAAATAATGACTTAATAAAGGCAGGTCTTGACCCTGCAAAACAATCAGAAAATGACAGTTCTCTGATTTAAGGCATTCCATAGCTACAAATTCGAAGTCAAAAGCAAGTCAAAACATTGGAATCTTTCTAAACCATAGCTTTCACCTGTCTCTCTAGCTTTATTTTTACACATCCTATGCTGTATTCATAATAGACTAATCATGATTTCTTAAACAAGTCCTTTAAGTTCTCATCTCCATGCCTTTGCTCATACTATTCCCTCCATGTGGAATTCCCCTTACTCCTAATTTTTCTGCCTGTTTAGCTTTCCTGGCTCCACTCAAATGGTATTTCTACCATGAAGACTTCTTTCCTCCCCCCCCACTCCCCCAAAGAGCTAATGTCACTCTCTTCTGTACATTGCACCTCCTCTGCCGAGACATTGTCCATATTCTGCCTGTCATCGTCCTTACTGGCTATACTAGAATACATTTTAACTACTGAGAAATTCCAGGAGGCACCTAGAATATGGGTTTATATACATTAGACATGCATTATGTATCTGCTGACTCCCCAGTGAAAATTTTGATCTTGAAAAGAAATTACCTTTTTTTTTCCCCACAAGAAAAGTAAACTTTGGTCAAGTTGGACATATTCCCAGACACTGTGGAGCAAGGACTTCTGATATTGTTGAACATGTAACCTTAAGAAAGTGGCTGAGCTTTATTTCCTATAAAAAGGAGTTAACAGTACCTGCCTGAATTACATTAAAGAGATCAAACTGACACCATACAACAAAAATTACACGATGCTAAGTGAATATGAGAGAGGATCTCCATGGTCACAGATCTGTTACAAGCAGAACTGTGCTGGGAACAGTTGAAGTTCTAGAATGCAAACTCGCTCCTGTGTTCTTGGGAAATGGACATGACCTGATAGTTCAGGAGGAGTCCTGTTAAGATTATACCGACCGCAAGGCCATGTCTTCAAAATTCACTGACTGGAGACCTGTTTATGAGTTCTTACTAAAGCTCCTCTAAGCTCGAAGTCTTTTTTCTTCTCTTGAAAAACCTTAAGCCAGAAATGTAAGAAAAGAAGGAATTGAGATTCAAGTTGACTTAAATATGGAAGGATTTTTAATTTTTTAATAATATAAATGTCTACCTAGCAAGAAGGTCCTAGGAATATCCACCTGCCCCACCCTTCCCATTTGGCTGCTTGAATCATTTAATTATCTCTTATTGATCCTTCATTAATACGCATGAGATTTTTTTAAGCTAAAATATGGAGAAACATCTTCTATGCCACCCTCTTGTCAAAATAAAGCTCCTTGTTTTTTACAGCTATATTTCTGCAGTGTACAAATACAGTCTAAAAACCAACCAAATTCTTCCAGAGAGCTTGTACCCCCACATACAAGGTATATACACATACACCTGCAAAATCCTTTAAACATGCTCAGTGAGGCCTTGAAATAGATCATATGGAAAGAGAAAGGTTCTGTTGTCTGTTTGTTTCATAGTAAAGGCTCTTTTTTTTTTTTTTTTTTTTTTAAAGCATAGGTCCTGCAAAATGCCACTTGGGGATGAGATCAATTTATAACCCTAATTTTAAGGATTAAATTGAAGAAAAGAAAATGACTCTCCTTCACCTCCTTCCCATGGGTATATGAAGTAGAATTCAAAATTTGTGACCTTAAAGCAATGTTCTAAGATTGTGCTTTCAGTTTAAGTCTTGGATCCCTTCAAGAACTATTTGTATTATTTCTCTATTCTCACTGGTCGCAGCAACAGGTCCCAATTTAAAACAATTGGTGAATTTGTTTATTGTGCCTATTTATTTCCCCCTTCAGAGCCTTGAAAAAAAGGTACAAAATTAGGTTTGGCCTAACACCAGTCCCGATACCACCCACAACCCCTTCCCAACTGTGTGTAATCAACAATTACATCAAGGCCTTTGTGGTGGTTTTCTTCGTTTCTCTTTTTTTCTTCAAATGAGAGGGTAATGAATTGAGGGCCGGCATTTTGCTCACATCTCACACACCTCTTCAGTCAATCCGATCACTTCTAGGGCTGTTTGCACTGCCAAACCTATCCATCATCCTGCCTCGCCAAACAGAAGGAGGATAACTGATGGCAAGTTAGAAAAATCTCATTAAGCCACCTTTTGCCTCAGCCTCTTCACCACTCCTTGAGAAACAGAACTTCAAAATTCAGCCTATTAGGAAAATAAGGTGGATACAGAAAAAGCTGATGTGGCAAAGGGGAAAAAGTCCCTCCAAAGTAAGTTGGTTTCTGGGCAAAAGTCAAATAACTTATAATATATAGACATAAAATAAATACATAAAACTTAACTATATATAAAACATATAAAAATAACTTAAATATATAAAAATACATGCCTAAAATAACTTGAAATATATAGACAGAAAAGATGGGATCTTATCAATTAAGCTCAACCCATTTTTATTTTCTTTCTGGTTGACTTACACATTTCCTAACAGGCTTCTTTATGAAATTTAAAAACAGCACCAGTTAAAATTAATTTTATCTTCATCTTTTTTCTCTTTTGACAAATACATCTCCAAGTTAATTCTAATTCCAAAGGAGATCGTGGATGTACTTTGCAAACCTGTAGGAGGATGTAGAAAACTTAATAAAGTCATACAATTCCATGGAAAAACTGGGGGCTTGTCTATGTTAAAAAATCAGTGTGTGTCACCCCCTGGAGTGTTGGGGAGAGTATGAAGACTGTGAGGGTAGCATGCGATGTCACGGCCCAGGACATCTGCACGAGCAGATGGGCCTCTTCCTGACGAAGGGCATTTGCCAAGGGACAGAAACACTAACAGACTAAAAGATACCTAAGATCCTTTAAGCATCTTCAGTTTTCAAGTCCTACATATGGCTAATTCCTTCAAATAGTGTTTCTCATCTAATCCTCACAGAAACCTGAGTCAGGCATTATCATCACCATCATAAAGATGAAATTGAGGCTCAGAAAGTTGAAGCAGCTCATTCATGATCACCCAATTATTAACTACAAGAGTCAGGATTCTAACTCAAGTCCACCAGTCCTTTGCACTTTTCAGGTTCTTTCTTTCTTTTCTTTCTTTCTTTTCTTTCTTTCTTTCTTTCTTTCTTTCTTTCTTTATTTCTTTCTTTCTTTTTCTTTTCCTTTCTTGTATCTTGTCTTTTTCATTTCTTTCTTTTCCTTCCTTCCTTCCTTCCTTCCTTCCTTCTTCGCTTTTCCTTCTTCTTGCCTTTCCTTCTTCTGTCCTCGTCCTTCTTTTCCTTTCTTTTCTTCTTTTCTCTTTATCTTTCTCTCTTCTTCTCTCTTTCTACTCTTTCTCTCTTCATCTCTCTCTCTTTCTTTCTTTTGACAGAGTCTCACTCTGTTGCCTGGGTTAGAGTGCTGTGGCAACAGCCTAGTCTCACAGCAACCTCAAACTCCTGGGCTCAAGCAATCCTTCTGCCTTAGCCTTCAGAGTAGCTGGGTCTACAGGCATGTGCCACCATGCCCGGCTAATTGTTTCTATATATTTTTAGTTGTCCAGCTAATTTCTTTCTATTTTTAGTAGAGATGGGGTCTCGAACTCCTGACCTCAAGCTGATACTCCCACCTCAGCCTCCCAGAGTGCTAGGATTACAGGCGTGAGCCACTGTGCCCAGCCCCTTTCTGGGTTCTTAAGACAAAGAACAATCTTTTCAGAGGCTTGCCTGTACAGGCACACCGTGAAGGTCCTCCAAAGCCAGAGGCAGACTCATGGTTCTGTGGCTTCTGAGCTGGCCTTGCCAACAAAGGCATAATGATAGTGGTATCTAGTAGAAACAAATCTAATTTTCCTACATACTTACAAATCAATGTAATACAGTTTTAGCTCCATCTGCACACTGGCCCTCTGGGTCCTAATCACAATAACCAGGTTGATTTCAAGATCGGAACCTTTTCCACTACAGAGGCAATTAAAATATAATCAAGCTAGAAAGTTATCCTCCCCCAAAGCCACCTAAAACAGAGTAACTCCAAAATAAAAACAATTTACATATTTTAGCCCAAATTAAAAAGTAAAAGCTAAGGATTCCCTTTTAATATCCTCAATAATAAATGCACATTTATGTAAAGCTTCCTTTAGGGAATGGTTACTATGAGGACAACTTTCCCAATATTATTCATAAATATCACTTCTGTTTTGGTGTTACAGTAAGAATCTGGACTTGTGGGAATTGTACTGTCTGTACCCAGTGCATCAACAGAGATAATTAATGGTGAAGACATGTACAATATCCAGAATTTTGGATGTGTGGTTGGCTGCATTACAAAAAGTAACATAAGAAAGGATGAGTCAAATCTGGTCAAAATCACAAATTGCAGGGACTTAGTCGTTTACTCCATTTTAAGTGAGCACTTTCCTAATGAAAGTTTCATTAGTAAAGATTGCAAGTTCTCAGCCTTTCCACGACAGACTTTTAAATAGCACTTAGAGCTAAGGTTTATCATTAGAGCTGTATTTACTACTGCTGCATCTTCAAAGGGGGCACTTGAAAAAAAATTCAACTCAGCCTGTTATTTTTCATGTACAAATTAGAAAGCAAAACTTTAAAGGGTTCAGACTGGCAGCATAGGAAAACACAGTCTACTTGAGAAGCCATTATTGGCACAGCCCACGGCACTCCAGGGATCACAGCTGCCTTTCTATGACAGAGAGACAGACAGACAGACTCTCTCTCTCTCTCTCTCTCTCTCTCTCTCTCTCACACACACACACACACACACACGCATGCATGGATCACATAGTACACCTAGATGTGTATGACAAAGTAACTATGATTTCTGCTACACTAGCAAACTTCCAGTTTGTACATGGGCATGCCAAGAGGGTCACTGTCTATTCAGGTGTTCCCAAAGGGTAACAGAGGAAAAGGAATTCAAAGAGTCATTTCTGCCAGAAGCAAGGCATTCAAATTTTGTAAAATAAACAGGTTCCAGCCAAGCTTCAGGGCAGCTGCCTGAAAGACAAGTTCCTTCCAACTGTCCAAACTTTTTCCTGAGAGTGAACATCTGGACACATGGAACATTGTAGACTAAATGGCCAGAACAACTTTTATTTCTATCTTTTGGAGTCATGCCTAGGCTTTTACAGATACAGAAGGAAAAACATTCACCATGCAACATGCAAACCTTAAAATCTCTCACCTTAACTTTATTTGCAATCACAAGGACTTATCCCCTAATTAAATCTTTTGATCAGTGTCAAAAGAAAAAGAAATGGTGACCTTGAATTCCACAGTCCATAGAAATGCACATAGTAAGTCCTCAACAAATGCATCTTCATTTAATAAGGAATGACAGCTAGCCTCTACTATGAACACTGCTGGCACAAAACTTCAAGGGTTACTTGTTACAAGAGAGTAGACGACAATAGAGGATAACCGATTCATAGGCACAGGAGAAGATCCAATGCCACGAAGTGTAGATAGAGGAAACCTTGGTGTTGTGGTGTGTTTTTCAGAATTCGCCATCTTGGCTGGATCGTTTCTCTGTTTCCCCATATCCTGAAAAAAGAACTAAACTTCCTATAGAAAAATATTTATAAATTACATTTTATAAAATGAATAATTAAAACATTAAACTCAAGTTTAAATATTATTTTTCAAACCAAGAGTCCAAAGGAAGTTATTTTTGGGAAAGACCTACGACGTATAATATTTTTCCATTAAAAAAAAAGTCACATGTGCTGGTTTTGCATTTTACTTTTGTGGTTAAAAATAAGACTTTCCAAAAACAACCAAAAACAAAAAATGCAAGCACAACAATTACACTGACCTTATTTCCTCAACATTTTTACTGCTTTCTCAACCAAAATTTATTAAGGATTCCTTTATGGCTTTCAGCATTTCTCGATTCCTGTAGAGGAGACTTATTGGGGGGGAAATACCTCGGGTGTTACATCCAACAAGGATCTGAATAATGAGCCTCCCTAAAGCAAAAATGGTCAGTCCTAAAATGGTCCAGGCAAAGGCAGAATCTCAGGGGTGAGGTGAGGAGGATTAGCAAGAGAGAGCGAGAGAGAGCCTGAGCGAGAGAGCATAAACCACCAGCCTATTAGGAGCCCTGACACTGCATAAGTTATTTCTTAATGAATGTACAAGGAACAGCATAAATATTACCATTAAGCATAGTGGATGTGAACATCCAAAGCAAACTAGATGGCTGACTGCTTTCTTATTTTTTTGTTCTTTTGTAACAATTCCATTTCCAAAGTGCTTGATTCCTAACACTGATGCTTCAAAGCTACTGTGAACACACTGCCTGAATACTTAATGAAGTAAACAACAAACAAAATGGCTCATCTTTGGTGCCCCCAGCTAGCATCCCAAACTGGATATAATTAAAGGTGTGAACAAGCAAGCAAGGAAGTAATGAACCTGTAAAGTCAAGGTTCTGAGAAATTATCGGGCACCCCGCACTGCATCAGTTCAAATTTATCACTCATTATCTCCCATACCGGAAAGATGCAGATCCACATGTTGGTACCTCTCTCCGCTCTTGTCCTCCAGCTTTTTTCCCCTTTTCATTGCTAAATAGCTAATTTAAGACAATTACTGCTTGTGACAACTCCCACCCACCCACAGATTACCTTTCTTTTACCTTTAGAAAGCCAGTGACCTTTAAAAACCCTTTACCCTAAAATACGTGGAGATTTCAAAAATACAAGGATGTTCTAAACACACACACACACAAACACACAAGCGCGCACACAAACTTAACAAAGCAAAGCACAGATGCTAACACAGCCATCTTACCTCCTTCCTTATTTTTATCAACGGTAAAGACTAGGTCCAAATGCTCCCAAAGAAAAACAATCCTCCTCCCACATACACATACACACACACATTATAATTCAAACCCAACCTCTTGATTGAAAGGGCAGCTTTTAGCTCACAAATATTGTCATGATTGTGCACATTTATAGTTTCTCAAGTGACAGTTAAAGAGAGGTATTTGGTTACTAATGGAAATCTGCAGGGTCTAGATATATCTTTTTTGATGAATATTTGAAGTTTCGTATTTTTCTAATAAGAGAACTTTTGAAGTTAATGAAAAGAAGAAGCCACTTCTTACGGGAAGCAGCAGCCCATTTCAGTTTTCTTTCCGTTTATTGATGCACATATCCTTCCAAGTAAGTGTGTATACATATTGGGTAATGCCAAATAAGGAAAGCCTA